TCCAGTTCCACTGCCTACACTGCCAGCTCCCACACTTCTGTTCTTGTATTGTATCCACTTTGGGGCAGAGAGTCATCCATTTCCCCACCTTTTTAGCTCCCTCCGGTGAACTTTCAGCTGTGGTTACTAGGATTACTGACAGTCATGTCTCTTCTGGGTTCACTAGGACAAAAGGTAAGTAAAGCTGCAGTTCTACACGCCAGGAAGACCATTGGTCAGCCTCTATCTGCTCTCAGCAGGCTACCCATCCCAAACACTTGCCCTCCAGCATTTCCGAATTCAAACCAAGAAACTCCCAGAAAAGATAGCAAGCCTCCAAACCAGTGGTTCTCAACCTTCCTAATGCCGTGACCCTTTAATACAGTTCCTCATGTTGTGGTGACCCCCAATTTCATTGTTACAAATTGAACATAATTAAAGCATAGTGATTAATCACAAAAACAATATGTAATTATTTATGTGTTTTCTGATGGTCTTAGGCGTCCCCTGTGAAAGGGTCCTTCTACCCCCAAAGGGGTCTCGACACACAGGCTGAGAACCGCTGCTCTAAACCATTCTTACAAGGGCCACAATCAGAACTGCGAGCAGGGGCATGTAAACAGAAGAGAATGTTAAACTGCTAAGGTTACAGAAGGCTTTTGATGAATGGGATGCAGAAAACCCACCTTTCTGACTTCATGAGCAAAGGACAAATGAGGTTCAGGAGCCTTCACTTAAGAGCAAGTATGCGGTGCCAACGTAGAGATAGCCTTAAGTCAGGCATCACGGAGAGATGGCTTTTACTGGCAAAGGTCAGCAGCCGAGGACCCAAGGTGAACCTGTGAAGCTGCTTCTCTGTAGACCTGAAAGCCATTTCTCTGCCGCTTTGGCATTTCCTGACTTCTTTCCCTCTTTTAGAACTTGTCATTTAAGACCCTAATTTTTGCATTCAAATATCAAAATCTTTAATATTTTAAAGATTTCATCACACTTGCAAAATTCCCATGAACTAAAACAATCCCTTCCTTTCTCAGCCACCCCTAACTCCCCAACATCCATCAAATCTCCGGTTTCTTCAGGCAGATCTCCTAGTTGGATTACTTGGTTCCAAAATAAATGAAGAAGTGTTTAGCCCAAAAGAATATTTTAGCAAATTCCTTAAATTTCTTCATTAACTCACTCAACAAATACTGAGCATCTACTACCGCAGACACTTGGGAAACACCAGGAATAAAAACACCAGATCACTGCCTCTGTGGACCTTACATCTCTGCTGGGACTTCTCCATGACTCGCATGGAGTCTGGGTCATCACACTCAACCGGAGCAACCTTTCTAAGGCAAGTAGCATCCTGCCATCCACCCCCACTGCCCACAGCACGGAGTCAAAGACTCCGCGCGGGCCCTTCACAGTGTGAACTCAACCTGGTGAAATGGGAAAAGTGTCCACTCCTCAGCAGGTTGGCTGTGAGCATCAGGGAGCATGAGGGAGGAAAGGCACTTACATGCTAGTGAGAGGAGCTGGGTGCATACAGAGGTCCCTCACAGCCAGTCACAGGGCACGCTAGGCCCTGGCACCACTTCACAGCACTCATCCCCTGGGTCCCTGCAATGGTGTCCTAATCTTACAGAAACAGGTCCTGAGCCTTCATGGCGGAGGTCGCCTTTCCCGCACCAGACCCAGCTCATGCCTCCCCACCTCTCCACACTGGGCCACCTGCTGCTCTCTGCTCAGGCCCGGCCTCTGCAATCCTTTACAATTCTCACTGCCGTTCCTCAACCTACTGACCTTTTACCCATCCTCCAAAGATCAGCTCAAACCCTGCCTCTCCCTTGAAGACTTTCCTGGTGCCCAGCAATTGCTACTTTGGGAATATTCGTTAATGGCCTAACATGAACCTGGAGAAAGTTCTTCCAGGAGCTAACTCAGCAAGGGTGACCCTCCCACACAAAGTTCTGCAAGGAGAGTGAGAGGTTTTTTAGGGGAAGGCCTCCCTTCCTGAGAGGCTTCCCCTGGGGAGGCCAGCCTGCATAGTATGGGTCACCTCACACCACCTGCTGGAGTGACTAGATCCCACCCACCCTAAGGGCAGGCGGGCTGGACGAGTGAGTAGGAAAACGGGTTTGACAGCATCCTGCTCCCAACAATCACCCCGTTTGAACGAGTACGACACACATACATTATCTCGCTCTAGTGAAATAAAGCATGCTCTCAACAAAAACCACTGCTCGGCAGTAGCCCAACCATTCGCAGAGTCAACCAAACACCCAACTGAGGGCTGCTCGAATGTAGAGAGAAGGCAGTGGGAACGCATGCTGTTTGATCATCTGGAATATGGCACAGAGAGTGCCGATTCTATTTTGAAATTCAGGACAAAGGTTAACCTAGGTTAGCAGCTAGCACATGTAGGGGCAAGTCTTCAGCAAGACCTCCCACGCCCCCACCCCATCCTTTGATTTGGACAAACACTAAGCGTTTACGTAAAGAAGCTTCATGCGCCCCCCCCCGACCCCCGCCCATACCACAGCATGACTCCATCCGAAATACCTTCCACACAGAAATCACAGAATTGCCTTTGCTTCTTATGAGAGAAAATTAACCACTAAAGCAAAATTACTCATGTTTTAAAAATCAAATGCCCCTGCCATGTTCCCACCAGTCCCGTCCTTGGGGGCGTGCTGTTAACAAGTCCGGTGTCTATTCTTCCGAGGATTTTTCACAGACACATACTGTTCCAGGTGGAGGCTTGTTTTCATTAAAATGTCATCATTCCACACCTACTGGGGGGTGAGTGCTTTTCTCTTTGTCTCAGCAGTATTTACAGACGCTCCTCCTCATCCAAAACAAACAAACAGAAATTCACAGGCAGCTCTAGTCAGCTTATTGTATGTTTGTGGGTTTTGATTGTTTCTGTCTTTACAAATTTACCTTCTACTGACAACGTCTTTTTAAAGTACTACATTTTTTCACTTATTCTCAGCTTACCTCTCCTACTCCATGGTCAGTATGGCAAAACTTTCCATGTGTTATAATGTCTTGAGTTTCAGAAACACAATTTTGGTGCTGACATCCTATGTACTCCTTCAAGGTAAAAGACTGCTTCGTCTTATCAACTTCGCTCCCGACTTCACAAGTCAAGCCTACACAGCAATTTTCCTGTTTGCATGACAAGTCCAAACCTTTCCCAGACATTTAATCAACGAAACCTTTCGCTTCCAGAGCACTCACCTGCTTCTGATGGAAGACTAGCAGGACCTGCAAGCATTCCGCGTTCTGCAGAACTTTCTCCTGCTGACACCCCACCCAACCGACTGCTTGAGAAAAAAGCTAGCTGAAAGCACTGGCCTCATTGTTGCCATAATGACCTATTGAACACAAAAATTAATGTTTGCTTTTTTCAAATTCAAGCACATTAAGAGCTTGGCGCCAAATCAGACTAGACTCCTCCCTGTCCCCACGGCCTGCCTTTCCCCCTGCCTCCCTGGGACATAAATAGTTCAGTGGCTTATTCTTATGGGACTGGGGCCCCGGGGAGCCCCAGAGGTGGGACGGAAGGGGGCCTGTTGCTGCTTCAGACACACGTCCAGAAAGTGTGTGGGTCCGCGGGTGTGTAATGAACACTTGATCTGAGAGCCAGAGAGGTGGGCAGGGAAATCCTTTCATAATTACATTTAAACTATAACCATTTCATTGTCGAACGTTTTCGGACAATTCAGAAAAACTAGCACTCCCGGTTTTCCACCTCACCATTTCAGCTCTCACAGGGCCTCCTGCCGCCGGCTCCGCCCCCACTCCCCGCTCTGTGTTGTTACCGGCAATTATCTTCCTGGACTAACACTGTGTTGTAAGGAAGCATGACTCACATCGACCCATGATTCCCGAGGCACTGTGCTGGGGGACTCCAGAGAGCTCAAAGACCGTAAGGAGAAGCAAAGCATAGCGTGTGAAAATTAAAAATTGCAGCACAACGAAAAGAACTGTGAACTCACCCGATTCCCGTCGTGCGAAGAAGGGTGCGGAGTATCGTGGAGAACGTGCGTTCAAAGAACACAGCGCGAGTCTCCACACTCTCAGCCCATTGGGAGGAAACCCACTCACCTTCAGGTGATCCGCAGGGAGAGTGAAATCTGAGCTCCTGCAAGTCTGAGCACAGCGCGGCTCCTGGACGCCCAGGGGGAGCTGGTTGGGTCTATCACTGTGGCTTCCTGCCAACTCCCCTGGATGCCTGGGCTTCCCTGCACCCCCCAGAATTCCTCAGCCCAGAGCTGACACCTCATTCACACCCTCTATTTTAGAGCAAGAACACAACTAGTATCTTATTTATCCCTAAAGCTAAGTCATATTTTACAGGCCCCCATTGTTTTAATCCTCAAAACCCAGGTCGCAGGACAGCCTTCCTTATTCCATACTAAGGAGAAAAACAGTGGGGACTGGCTTACTTTTATTTTTATAACAACATCAAAGGGATATCAACTACTTAGAAAGGAGAGTCACAGAAGTCCACTTTTCATTCATTAGGCAGCCATTTATTAAGCACCTATTGTGCCCCACAGGCCCCCAGGTGGGAAAGAAGTGCGACCCGCTTAGAGCTGAAGCAGAGGAAGAGCAGAGAAACCTTACACTGTAACAACACCTGGGATGAGCGCCTTTGCGTTATTCTCAGAAATAACTTTAACTGCGAATGCCCTGTCTCAAGAACAGAACTCAAAGAGTCTCCATGCAGGCCCAGCATCATCTCACATGCTCCGCGCAGACATGGGAGTTCGCGTCTGAAAGCCGCCTGAGCAGGCAGTCTCAGAAGCTGCGTGTGTGTGACTGTGAACTTGGTTTTCTCCCAGCATCATCTCCTACTCACTCCATCAGCACGTCGCCCAGTACGAGGACCCACTCACCTAACTCGCGG